TTTATGGTTAATTAATATTTAATTTCATATTTATTATTTAACTGTAAGCTTGTACATAGAGAGGAAAAAATTAATTTCATATTTATTATTTAACTGTAATCTTGTACATATAGGGATAAAAAAAAACTACATGTATACATCATGTGTCATTGTAAAATAATAACAATTAAGAAAAAAAGGATACGAATAGTGCAAGAATACTATTGTAATTGACAGTGGTGTAAGTAGCCAGTATTGTAAGTAACGTAAGTAAATTTTGTAATTAGCCGTAAGTGATATAGTGTATTGTTATTAGTGTAAGTATGTAGTATTGCAAGTAATGTATTTTATTGTACCGTTAAAATATAAAACTAAAATAATAATAATAATAATAATAATAATAATAATAACAACAATAATAATAATAATAAAATAAAATAAAATAAATAAATAAATAAAAAAAAGAAAACGATTGACGGTTACCGCTAATTCGGGCACGAAAATAAATTACTACGACAAATTGCGCCCGACGTGGCTGGCCGGATTGGAAAATTCCGCCCAACCAATCAGATTGCAGTATTTTTTTTTTTCTTTTTTGGATCAACAACTCAAAAATTGATCAATTCTGAGCAATCTTTTCTCCAGTTAAACTTAACAGGGATTTTTCAAAATTTTCTCGCGTAGGGTTGCCATGTCGGAAACTATTGACCAATTAGAGCTAGCGCTGCGCTTGACATCCATGCCATTGCGACTCGTTGTTCACCAGTCATCGGACGGACACTCTAGTAAGGAGAGGGAATTAATTAGAAAGATTCTAGAGAAAGAGTCTCGCTCAGTCCTTCTCAACTGCCGACAAAGAAGTTAAAATAAATGTTTTTGAAAGACTCTATTCAGAATATAGACACCTTGGAACATTTTCAAGAAAAGGGATGTAAAATGATAGAAACCGTAACAGGTTGTACCAAATCGAAAATAAAAATAAAAACTGTATCTCTAATCTATGAATAGAGATTAGAACCGGGTGTTTCCTTGTTTCCCGTTAAATAAAACCCAAGGTTTTAGAGTTTATTAATGAAAGGGACCGTTGGACAGTACGGTTTCGCACTGAGGGTGCACCCACCCGTATGCAAAGTGACCGTAAAGGTTTTAGCCTGTGAACAAACTCTCCCCAGCCCCGGCTTATTTCCCGTCGGCCACTTTACTGTAAGTCAGTTCTTCCAGCCGCGGTCAGTCCCTTCCAGCCGGAGCCTGTTCACAGGTTTCAAAGGTTATCAAGCAGCTGTTATCCGATTTAAATGTTATCTACATACTTAATTCACATTAGTGTGAAGCCCAGACACGATAATTACAATATCCATGATAATCATGTTCTTCAAATACATAATTTAGACAACGACGTCTGCGATCGGCACCCACTTTTAATCGGGGCAACCTTGCGGCAACCAAAGAATGCTTTGTCTGTTCCGATGAAAAACTGGATATGTTTAAACGCTCGTCGATACTTTTATTGCGATCATCACTGTATGTGTGGCCGTTCAGTCGAGTTTCGGCAAATCTTGTTGCCACCAGTTCGACACCAGTCATTCGCAACGAAAAGCCGGGAATGCTGGTGGAATGTTCCCTGTTTATACTGCCATAACTACGTACGTCAATGATACGTCACTAAACCATGTCATCATTTACCTCCTATAAATTAACTTATCTTAGTTTGATACTATTAATTAATGGTGCTCTAAAGCGTTATCGTTCGACTAAAAGGTTTCCAGCAGTATTTGACTGTGTCGGTAATGGGTTTATTATGCTATGAAAGGTGGTTCTCTATGTGGCATGCTCTTTCACAGGGTAGCTGTGTTTGAACAATCACATCCTGGTCCCGGTCACTTGAAGTAAGAATTTTTTCTCGTGCACCCATGTTTGTTTTTCAATATCTGCCTCTGTAAAGTGAAATTTGGGCTGTTTGCATTTTGAGCTGGGGCCTGGGCCAAAATTAGCCCCCGCTTACAGAAGCATCTCCAGGAAGAAACCAGGAAATTCCTTAGAAGCTAAAACCCAGATCACAAGCCTGAAATCCACAGAATAAAGCCGATTTAACGCACACCCTAAAGTCATAAAAAGCCGGTAGTACCTAAGACCGGATGTCCGGTAAAAATGTATGAAGAATTCTTGCAATTACGTTTTTTTTATCTCACGAAAAGGACTGACTTTGAACAACTAATGCCATTCGATGCCGACTCCTCATAAGATTTGTGCCACTTGTTAAAAATTCGCGTTCACTGCTGTCGACCTGCAGGAAATTGTGCATATCTAAACAAAGGTTAAAAAAACATCTACCAACCCTAGAACACTTACTATCATGACCGAACTTCTCATGACTCGGTTAGCGGGTGTTTCTGTGATGTGGTCGGTCGGTTGCTCAAATAAAAGTAGAAATACCTGACACACACAAAAAAAATTGCCTTAGAACGCAGCCATTTTCTTCGCCGACAATCCGACCTTCCTGGGCAGCTCGTTTGCTGACGGTCATCCCTTCGATCGTTTTTCTCTCTTGTCTCGGTTGTCGACCGAGTTCGGTAGAATTTGTGATTCGTTTTTATTTGTCTGAGATTTTAGGGAAAACCTTCCTCTGTTTAGGTGGTAGGTTTGATTACATTCCCTGCTTAGGTCGGGTAGGTTCTAAGCCTTCTATGTTCGGAATACAGATGTACTCGAATACTTACATGTAGATGATTAAATTAAGAATGCCAATTATGTGCCGCTTTTAAATACTTACATTCTTATATAAATCAGTGATCCTGGTTGGTCCGGTCAGACCGACCGGGTGTCTGAATCTTGTCCCTTCCCGGGCTTTGTCCCCCTTACGGTGCCTACACGGCGCATTAATAGTCACAAATCCTGATTTCGAGCAAGGAAAGATACTTAACAAGTTATTTTATCTTCGCACATGTGGCTGGTCAAGACTAGGTTAATTTGACTATGCTCCACATGCACAATAACTCATTGGCAGACTCTTAAAAAACATCACGTCCGTTTCAATGAGAAAGCACTCTTAACCAGCCTACTACGCAATTGGAATTAACCTCCAATAGCTCGATCACGTTCGCTCACGGACTATTTTGGACCAAGATGACTATCCCACCATCACTGAATTGAGATACCCAAGTAAAACTTAATTCGGTGGCTTCAATCCTCTTGAAATTAATTTGAATGGCAGAGGGTACGCAATTTCTTATTTCCGTTCAGGATTGCGGTTGGAAAAAAAAATTCTTACATTGAAAGCACGCAGACGCTGATTAAACATTTACAACACCGTTGTTTTCAAACGTGCGTAGGGACAAACGGAGGATTCTTTAGATAAAAAATTATGAAAGGGAACGTAACTCTTTGGATATTATATTCATTTGTTCCCCTTGGTATTTTTCTGGTAAATGTTTTTAGTTGCAAGCGGCACGTGAAGCTGAGTCTTCCTCTTGACGTTTCGAGGGGGCTTGGCGGGAGTCAAAAGCGGTGTAACCGACCAGCACGATATTTATACATCGTGCACTGATTTTGCGCCACAATTTGCATAAATCTCCTGAGAGCCTCTTATTTGCGTAAGAGATTCCGTTTATTATTGGTTTGCAACGTTAACTGACCAGGTTTTGGAAGGTAACAATGGTACCGAAAACTGACCTTCATGATACTGAGCTGAGCCGCAGAAAAAGAAAAGCAACGAAAAAAACCCAACTCTGCATGGGTCCAGGGTGGCACTTGTTAACACACAGACAAGTACTTGAAACACATCCTCGAGCTGACGTCGTGGTATCGTGAGTTGCTATATTTAAATAGCAACAAATGATACTATTCTGCTCTGTTGTCGATACCGGAGGTCCTACGTGCAGATCCGAGTCCGGAAACTCATAATAGTCTGCAAGTAAAATCAACGCATTTTGTTCTAGATTTTAGTGGTTCAATTTGACTGTTTAATTTAATAATAAAAAAAGAAAGCTTTAGAAGACTTGTACTGACTGAGTTTTGTACGTGATATGTAAACGTTCTCGAGATTCCTTGGCTGCATGGATGTGAAGGAGTTGCGATAACCTTATTGCATTCTATTGAACAGTTTGCGCTGACGTTAGCCGCAGTCACGAAAACTCTCGAGAATAGTGAGCACCCAGTCACTGCGTGTTTCCTGTGTTTGCTCTTCTAGCGAGAAGTCAAATAAAAGCAGTTTTGATTAGTGTTGAAAATAAACAGCGTGAATCTTTTGTAAACTCATTTAAAAAATGAGACGTGCCGTTTGTGGATCAACAGATCACTCGCGCTGGGAGCTTTCATGACATTTTAAAAAGTATCTGGTGAATGAACTCGACACTCTTCATCCTGTTTATGCTATAGGTCGCACCGGGAGCGGATGATTAACTTACCACTATCAATCCGGTATACCTGATACCCGACCTGATATTGCCAATTCCGCGGGGTTCCAGGCGGGTTTGTCATCTTATCTCTAAAGGGTGCTTAGGTCACATCAACTTCGTGCCACACTTCTGGCTGTTTTGCCGGCTTGCAAAAAGGGTGGTGAGAGTTGCCTTGGATTTTTTGCTAGGAATTGCTTACTTCAAAAACTCAATCAAAGTCAATTCGAGTTTCAAAAACTGAAACAACGTTTTGTGGTGTGTTTCACCATGTCCCAGTTTTTTCATCCCTACAAAATACATCCCGAGAGACCACGAGCATGGAAAGTGGAAGAAACAAGAATTCCCCATCGCCGCAACTCGACGAGTCGTCCGTCGAGAAGAGACTTTCAAAGGGCTGTCGTTGTGAATCCATCTTTCCAGCGGCAATTTATTGATCCAACTGACCCTGCTGATGAACAAGACATGGAACCCAAATTGATGGAGGTCCCACAGACGCAAGGTCCTCGCCGAGTGACTAAAACAGAGAACATAACAGTGAGGCGGGAATGCGAGTGGGACGTGGACGACACCAAGGACGATAGCCTCGGTGGAAAGCCACCACGTAATAGATCAATTGTGCTATTAGTAGTGGTCTGTCTTACATCAATTGTTTCTCTTGTTCTGACGTTGCTAATTCTCTCTGGGTTCGTCGGAGTAAAAAACTGCTCTTGTAGCGACAATTCAGGTAAGTCAGCTGCATCGATTAGACTGACACAATATCTTTGTACTTGTATTGGGACAGTTTGCTTGGGATTTCCGCAAGGAACTCGTTTTGCATGGCTTAAAACAACCGCTTCTTCGTCGTCTATTTTCAACAGTCATTTAGCTTTGTTTTGTAAAGAAAACCCTGCTGTTACTTTGAAAACTTTTGCGAGTTTCCTTCCATCTTGTGCCAGCTAAAAAAAAAAAAAACAGGATGAACAGGACGTTCTTAAAATTTTACTCAGGGGCCACACAGTTTTCATAACGGTCAAGTAGCGGAAATCACTTCTATAGTATCAGGTTAGGCCGGTAAAATAGATGAGCAGTTCTTGATTCCCCGAATACCAAAATAACATCTAGATTAGGTGTAACGCGTGTCGTCAGGGTTATTAGAACAACTACGAGAACCATACAGCTGAGCACTGTATTTCAAGTATCTTCAGAAAGTGATTCCAGATAGATAATATCGTATTTTCGTCTTAATCAGATTATACTCAGATTAATGCAAGAAAAAATATATTTGGGGAGTACTCTCAAGTTTGAAGTTTAAGACGAGTCGATAGCCGAGTAGAATAGGAACTTTCCATGGCGCTCAACTACCCTAAAAGTAGAACTGACTAATGAGATGGCCAAAGTCCACACGGGTCAAGAATGGGCAAATTTCTCTTACTGCTTAACGAAAGATGTTTACATTTAAGCAAAAGCTACATCAAAAAGAAATTATTGGTACCCGTTAATGCAGAACCCGGCTTGTTTGGTAAACCTATACCACTTCTCATGAATGCATCGTAGGCCTTATTTAGCTACGCCTTTAACGACGTTTTCCTTTGAATCACCTATCCAACAAATAGGTCTGTGAGATGGACTCTCTTTGGACGAATTTTATGTTCATTTCTCTCGTTGAACTTAGTTACATTCCAGCCTGGGATAGTATAACCGGATGGCGGCCGCCCTCCTTTCCCTCAGAAGTGTCAGGTTGGATCGTTATCTCGATTTTTTGCTGTCTATGTCATATCAGTGATACCTCTTTATCAACTTCTTTATTCAAAACGTGACTAAACTCATGGTTTTATTGCTTTGGCGTGGACCTGTATGCCATTGCGTTTTTGATACGTACTATGTTCCTCTGGCTTTAAGTGAACAGAACAGCATGTCCTGGTAAAACAGCCGTAGGACAGAACTTTATTTAGGGGTATTCATTCACATTAATTTTTTTTATCACGTGAAATCCTTGCTTAAGTCAAATTAACATTCTTTGTTGCCGAAAGGTGTGTAGCCCTTAGGCAAAAACTCTATTTGAAACCAGGTTCTACACATCCTTCTCTTGTGACCTTCGTGACACTAACCCACTGCTTCCAATATTCTGGCTACCTGTTATGGAGTTCTCCCAATCAATAAGGACGTGTTAAATGTAAACAGTTTGAAGTGCTGTGAATTTTCAGCCTAATCTTCAACAGAAGTCTGTGTTTGAAGATAGATTGCTGATCTGTCCCACCGGATCAACTAATTACCGAAATCAGTGGAATGTTCGCGATAAATTGATCTATTGTCGCTTCCCTGGCTGTAGTTTTAGCGCAACCCAGACAAAAAAGAAAAAGGTTCCAGAAAGCAAATGTTACTTAAAATGTTATTTCCATCATCATTGTTAGTTGTACCGTCAACAGGACCAAGAAAACAAAACTATGAAAACAACTTAATACACATTGTAGTAAATGGACACCGGCCGTGTATTTTGATTAAAACAGAATTTGGTTAAAACAGACTGTGCCACTTCCATATTGTGCAGGCGACATAGTAACAGTTGTTCTCTAGATGTTCGTAAATTTGTGTAACGTCCGAGACTCGAAGGTGGGAAACTAAGCTAAATGCCACAAACAGATTTCCGCTGTACTCGCTATTATGTGTCTTTTGGTATATTGAACTGTCTAACATTGAGGGTATAGATTACCTAAGCATTCGTAGCCAATTTTATCGTGGAGCAATCATTAGGGACTTTGTATTAATTACACTCGGGAGTAGACAGATCTCCGTCGTCAACCTCATGGAATTTCTGATTTCTCTCTTCATTTTTTGTACATCATTGAGATAGCGATAACAGGCCAGTCGTGCATGATTAGTCCAACAAAGATAGAAGAAAAATTCGAGATACCAGCATCAAAACATCGATGATCGAGATAATATTTACAGTCCTTTCAACCCATACCACATTAATTTCTTTTTAATTGCGAAATCAATGAAAAGTAAGCATATCCGCATTACAGAGCCGTAAAGTGCTGCTCATTAGCTGTTCTTGAATGGTCACATGCAAAGTTTTCATCCACAGAACTTCAAGGTTAAAGCATCTTTAATGACCATGAAGCTCGATTTTGGGATTGAAATGGTCAATTTTACACCAGAGACTGACCAATGAATTAGATAAACAACTAAGGGGGAAGTCACGCGATTTGAATTGTTTTCCAATCGCTCATCATCATTGCAAGAGGGCCGCCGCCATACCTGTTAATACTTGCCGTGAGCGATAAGAGACGGCGGTTAGTTAACCCCAAACTTTTAGGGTGAGTTCCTTTGGGGTGATCTGGATCAGGATCAGTGATCCAAGATCACTCGGATTATGGTGCATCAAAGAAACCGACGAATCCACTCTGGTCACGGATTCATCGGTTTCTTTGAGAAACTATGATCCGAGTGATCTTGGGTCACTGTCCCGATCCAGATCATCCCAAAGGAACGCACCCTTAGCTACTTTTGATGCCGCAATATTATATCTTGTTTCGTTCGTATTGTCTTTCACCAATTTTGATAACTTTATCCCAGTTAATTTATCTTTTCCCTAATAACACAGTATTCCTGTTTAACTTAAAACACTCCAAGCTGATGTAGTGTTTAGTTCAGTCTCAGCACCATTAAAACTGCCATAAAGTTTCATTTTATTAGTCTAGAATTCATAATAATCTTTGGAGATTAATAAATTTACCTTATACCAACGTAATCTTGTCATATTTCTTTACCCGTAGCGTCTGGTAGAACAAGCGCAGTGAAATCAGGAGATAATGATAGACTTAGGAAGGTTGCAGAGAATATTACTGCGCTGGACAAAAGAATGGTAATTAAATTCTGTGCAGATATCGAGTGTAAATTCTATATGACATTAAAGGCCCCGTCCAGGTCCTTAGTTGCTTTCGATATTATTTAGGTATTAGTGAGAGGAAAGCTTTACTGATGAGGAAGAGGTAAACTACAACAACTAGATGGAACAATTCAAGCTTTTTTCGAAGACTCGGCGACCATGTAAAAAGTATTTAAATTTTATCCTTTAGCACATTAGATTTTTTGTTAAAAGACCCCCAAGCTTTGTAGCTTTGAAAACTATCGTTTTAAAATAAAGGTTGATTGATTGATTGTTTCCACCAATGTGCGTATTTGAATATCTATCCTGAATATGTATTGTGAAATTGTCCAGAACAAGCATCTGAATTTTACATTCTTGGAGACGCCATTCATGCACTCAGTTATAGTTAGTCGTGCTGATGATGAGCAAGCCCTCACTTGATTGTTTTTAAAGGAGCTCAGTCACGTTATTTTGATTTATTTTGGCCATGTACAAAATCGCCTCTGAATTGGAAGAAACCTGACAATAATAGTTTACTAAGATAGAAAATAACCAAAGAAATAATAATAAACCATAAAGGAACAAGGATGGTGAAGGATGGCAAAGATTCAAAACCCGTATTACAACGACGAACTTGAAAAATGTAGGCTAAACTTTCTAAGATGCGAAAACCATGACGTAGCTCCTTTAATATTTTGAAAACTTTGTTTAATACTAACTATCAGCAGGAATCATAGCGTTTTAGAACTAGAGAAGGAAATTGAAGGGTCGGACAAAGTCACATATCTTATCTAATTGATTTAAGTGTTCTCGTGTTCAGAATGTCAATAGTGGAGCAGGCACATTTATCGTAACATGTACACATGTACTGAAAGCTGCGTTTCACATTTTATTATTTTTTCTCTCGAAGCCACGTTTGTTTACTGTTTGTTTCAACAGGAAGAACGAATGCAACGAGTAGAAAAACTCATTCCAAACGAAAGATTGCCGGTAAGGAATTCTCTTGTAAGGAAGTCAAGTCTTTTATTGTAAATTGTTGGATCGTTCAATTTAAACTAACATGTCTGTCTACGATTTACCGACAGTTACATAATGAAATAGATGTCTTGAAGGCACTATTAAAAAACCAAACTGCCAAGCTGGACAAGCTAGTTAACAAAATAGCTTCCCAGGTAATGAAATATCCGAAGCCATCACCTCTGTATTGATATACATTTTCGGTACAAAGTACATTGTTATCAGCCGATAAAGTTCAAAGTACGCTGTTGAAAAATGACACATATTTATATTCCATCAAATATTTTCCCTCAGGCGTGATTCATTCACGTGACAGAATATGCCCCAGAGAGAATCCAAGTGACATTCCCCACTATTCAAACGACCCGTGTGTTGCGAGAAATATTTGAAAGATAATAAACACAATAGCCTTCATTTGGCTTTGATAATAACACGGATAATTTTCCATGAGCACTGTACTTTTTGTTCCTCGAAGCTCTCAGTTTTTCTCGAGCTCTCGGAAAACTGTTCGCCTCTCGCAACAGTCGATAACGTCACCAAACAAATAGCCGAGCACATTTTCGCGCCAAATACAAGCCATTTTTTATTTATTCATAAGTACAATATCAGGAAAATGTCGTTACAGTATTACATTGGGAAACACCTCCATTTGTCCGCATGAGGTCACTTATATCTAGGGACCTACATGTATCTCCCTTCCCCGGGTGTTATATTGTTTGTACCTGGTATAAAATTGATCCTAATATCCAGTGCTCTGCCACTGATTTTTTTCTGATTGAGTTAGCTTAGTTTCAAAGTACTGTACGATTTGCTGGTGCAAACGGTGTAACGTGTCACTCAGTTTAGCTGATTACGTATTTTCTCCGCTTGGATCTGGAGGTCCAATATCATTTTTACTACTTAGAAGTAGTGAAATCTCCGTACAGAAGTTACTATATCGTGCCACTAACCTAACCCGCTTGCAATTACTGCAGGAGAAGAAAATCCAATATCTTACAGTACGCCTGGCGTCCACCCATCGTGAACTAGAGACCGTTAGAGAAAAGGCCGATAGGTTTAAGAACTCCAGCTCCAGTCACTTCAGTAACATATGGAAAGCAGTGAACACGACAGCGGGAAGAACAGATAACTTAACAAACAAGGTACTTTAATATCGCGTATAATTTCAGTTTTCACCTTGCTTAACTTTTAATTGAATAGCGTCATATATTGCTTAAAAATAGTTGAAATTAACTTGCTCTCGAACGTCTGCCGGCTTTTAGGAATAATTTTATGCCTGCACATTCATGTATTTTTGCGCCAAGTGAATATTTCACTTTGTATGTGATTATTTTTCTTTATCGTTAGAGTTACTTTTCTGTTACGTCCCTCGTTCCAATGGATTGGGGTGCTTGTAAGACCTCAAGACGATCGAGTTATTTCANTTAATATCAAAAAAGAAGTTAGGTTCGAACCACTTCTGCTTATTGAAAGTTTCAGAAATGCATTTTTCACATTATTTCAGATATGGACAACAGACAAAGGTTTTCATTTCGACTAGACAGTCACAAGAGCTTCAGCAATTGTTCTGCTTTTGTAACCAAACGACCCCATCACGAGCAAAACAACCAGTAACTAATTTGTTACTTGGCTCGGAACTCTTTCAAATATTGTTAACACTCGTCGTATTTTTCTTCCTGAAAATGAAATTTAATTTAGGGACTCCACGACCCCGCATTTAAGTCCATTTAATAGGCCATTTAACAGTCCATTTAGCCCTATCTTGCCGGCCTCAGGTGGTGTTTGACCGAGCAGGTTTTCGCAAGAAGAGGACTATGATAATTATAGTACCGGATGTGGGTAGCCTGTTTACAGCCGCCTTGTGGAAAGAAATGACGTAACTGTTTAAACTCGGTAGGATATGACAAAGGTTTTTGTAAGTTTATATTCGCAACAATTTGAAAATTGCCTTGTTATTTTCTCAAACAGCTTAAAATTTCAACGGACCGACTCGATCAAGAAGACAACGCTCTGAACGCAGTGTTAGATGAAATTAACAGGACACTCTCCATAAAGGTACAATCAAATTGTAGTAAACATCCTTCAGGATATACAAACAGCTGGGCCCAGTTGCTCGAAGAGCGGATAACGCGATCCAATAAATGATTTACTGTCCAATGCCGGATAGCGTACTTTCTTTCATCTATAATTGTCTACTAAATAGCGATTTATCCGGTGAGTAGCGTTATCTACCTTGAGCTAAAACAACTAAACTCTGAGGTATTATTCACTAAAGACCTATTACATGTTCCAGCCATCTCTCTTCCAGGTAAACAACGTGAGAAAGCTCCAGGGCCCAGTCGGTCTTCCCGGTTTCAACGGTTCTCAGGGACCGATAGGTCCTGCTGGACCTCCAGGATCCAATGGAACTCAGGGACCCCAGGGCATCATGGGCCCCCAGGGATTTAACGGCTCACAGGGAGCTCAAGGTCCAACTGGACCACAGGGTTCCCAAGGAGCAGGAGACTTTTCACAGTGTAAATACAAGAATAGTACAAACACAGGAAGCCAACACAAAGTAACAAGCAACAGTCGTACAGGTGCAGTTACGGTTTCAGTGGAAGAACTCAGCGTAAGTATACTCAATCCTGTCAAATTATGATTCCGAAACGAAACGGGTCACAATCAGGTAGAACATTACTTTCCCGTACATGTCCAAGTAAAAATCCCTTTGTCAACATATTAAAAACGAACGCTACCAATTAGAATAGACCATATTCGTATTCTCGCCATTGGACTGAAGTTACAATGTAGCTTGCAACTGAGGCTAATGCGAGGAGTCTTTTCAAATGCAAATAGCATTTATCCCTTTTTAATCATATTCCCCCGCATTAGCCTCCAGTGTA